CGATTTTTTATTAGATTTTTAACTTTTCATAAAGGAACCGAGCCATAACTAAATATTAGCGAGGCTGAAATATTAGACTATTTAAGAAAAATATAAAGACTTATTAGGTATTTAAACTTGAAATTCAGCATGAACCAAACGACCTTAATGATTAAGGGGTTATTGTTATCCTTTAGGTCCCGAGTTTAAGCACTACGTATGTAGGGGTATGAGCGCTCATTGTCAAATAATAGAAATTATTTGTACATATACTACTTTGTATTCACCTTAAATTTATATATATATATATATATATATATATATATATATATATTATAAACTCAAAATTCACAAGACAACTTCTAATTTGTCTAATATTTAAACTTACAATGACCTAAATTGTAATTAGACCAAAAAATTGAGAACACAGACTTATCATTATTTAGTTTGACCCCACTTGATTAAATATTTAATAATTTTTTATATATTTTAAATTTAAATATTTATTTTTACATGATTAAAAATACTATTAAACTAAAATTATATTAAATATACAAATTTTAACGGGGGTTGGTCACCCTTAGGCCTTAAGAGAGCTCCATCCATGTTTTTATATGCCCTTGTATTATCTTAAGTGACTAATTTTTTTCTTAATGGTTATAAAAGTGTTTCAACCTTTTGTTTATTTTATGTTTATAATTATAAATCTTCATTATAATTTTAAATATTTTATCTTTTTAATAGAATTAACATCTTTTATAAAAATTATAAATAAAAATATAAAAAATAATAAAATTAAAATTTGAATACCAATTCGAAATAAGTAATTTTAGACACATCTTATCACAAGTCTAAAGGAGACGAGGGTCAGTATCGGAGGCTCATCCGTTTTTAGCTATTTTTTGTGGTTATCGCGCAAATAAAATTGAAAACTGAGAAAAAATGGATTTAATCCAATAATTGTCATAATCAAGGATGGCAACAAGTCAAGTTTTGGTCGGATTACTGACTGATCATAAAATATGTATCATGAATCTAATTTGATCTGAAAATTTTATAATATCCATCTAATCATATCTAACTCGAAAAATATATATCATCCACCGGCTTCAACTCGACTCGAATTGCTAGAGTATAAATTCGAGCCGATCTGGCTCGATAAAAAATAACAATTTAATTAAAAAATTATTTTTTAAAGAAAATTACATTATTATACATGGGTTGGGTCGGGTCGGAGTTTTTTTCACCCTCCGCCCGAACCCAATTCGACTTCTCCCCTTAAAAAATTCAACCCGGCCGAAACTTTATTTTTTGTTAAAAAGAAACATACTATATTAAATCGAATCAGATCAAAACACGTCAAATTCAAGTTAAATTGCCATCCAGTAATAATAAAAAAAAACACTTTTATGGTTTTAAAGATGATACAATTTCAAAGGATAGGCAGGTTTACCTACTTTTTGTTGTTTTTAATTAAGGCACTCATAAATGATTAAAGATGTCAAACTATTTGAGTTTAATGGAATTTAATTAACTTCATAAAATTATTTAAAAAAAATTTAAACCATATAATATTATAATATATAAAATTGAATACTGGTTTAAGGTGAAAAATTCACTCTTATAATTTATATATAATTACTATAGTTTTTCTCTATATTTTTTAATTATGTTCCTATTTTTTCGAATAAAAACATTTATTTGTGTTGGGTCAAATTAAAAACAAATTTTCATCTAAAAAAATAGATCAAATTCGAGAAAAGTAGAGTTCTCCTACACTGAATTGGATCGAGTGTCAAATAAAAAAAATATAACACTCGAACCAAAATCGAGTTAACATAAAATTTGACCCATGATTATCTCTACAAATGATTAATTACAGGTATATATATATGAATTTTAAATAGTGTGAAAAATGACTTGTTATTTGAAATTTGAAAATATCGTAGATTAAATTTACAACTTTGGAATATTTCAGGGACTAGTGAATGAATTCGACAAATGTATTATAGACTGTTGGAGAAAGAGCAAGAGTGAAAATGATGGAAAAGAAAAGGAAATGGCATATAACATGAGGAACCCTCCTCTTTTGTTTTGTGGCTATAAACACCGTCAGACAAATTACATAAAAGTCAACACTAGAGACTCTATGCGTAGACCTAACTAACAGTTGGGAAGTGCAGCTCAATTCATTGATATTTATCATATAATTAATATCTTTATTTTTTTAATGGAAATGAAAAACCAAATTGGCTATATATATATAAATGACTGATATTATTAAAAAGTGAAAATATTTAAAATTATAATGAAAATTATAATCATTATAATAAATTAAATATATAATTTGAACATTTTTCTATAATATTTAAGTTAGTTACTTTAGATCATATAAAAACAATACATGAAAAATATTAAAAACCCAACCAACCTCAAACGAAAATAGGGACGATCTAATCTCATTGCATCGATAAACGAATTACAAAAAGAATTTAAGCTATTGATAGAACATCGAAAATCGTAAATTAAAGCTGAGCGTCATGATAAACTATATACGAACACAAAATCGCGCATCTAAATTCAATTCGAAAGTCTATTATAGGAAAGATCAATAAGATTTCAAATAAACACCATATTGATTAGTCGCAGCATCATCAAATTCACCCATAAGAAACACATAAATAAAAGAACGATCAAATGGCCGAGAAAAAAAATAAAAAACGTACATAAAGGTAGAGATAAACGTGTCACATAATTATTCTTATTAAAAAGTAAAAAATAAAGAAAAAAACTAACGATCGACAACTAACACTAAAACCGATATCGCCGTCGACTAAACAAAAATCAAACAATAAAAAATTAATGTGTTGTATAAAGAACAACACAAACTAAAGGCAAAACGGGAAAAGGAAAAAAATGAGAAGTTCTACAGTGCGACACCTTTAATATACAATTAAAAAAGTCGTTATCGATTTTGTTATTATTTAAATAACAAAATCGATAAAAAAATTACCTAAAATATCAATGTTTTTTTAACATTTTCTGTAAATTGCCTAACAATAACAAAACCGATAGAAAAAAATAACAAAACCGGTAAAACGCCTAATAATAACAAAACTGATAAAAATAATAATATTTTCGATAATTTTTACCGATTTTATTATTTAAATAATAATAAAATCGATAGCGTATTTTTTAACCGCATATTAAAACTGACGCACGTGATCATTTTTCTAAAATAAGGGAAAACGGCTAAGTTTCTTGTTTTATGGCTATAAATCTTTATTAATATGATAAAATTATGTGATTGACATAACATATATCTTAAAATTTAAAGTATGCTTCTTATATGATAAAAAAGAATTTATTATTTTTATCATTTTTTTCCTTAATTATCTCCTTAAAAAATACTCTCAGATAAAGAAAATCAGTATCATGAATAAGTCTCGAAGTAAGGCACGACAAATATCAACCATAAAATAAAAAATGTAATTTTTTATCGTATATTGTACGTATGCTCAATAAAATGATATCATCCTCGTAATTAATTTAGGATATCTAAGATTTTTCTAAATAAATTCGAGAATAGTGTCATCACTCATCCCTACTAGAGATTTATTTTTTATGGCCCACATTAATTTTTCCCTTTAAAAATTTATCTGTAATAATAATAATATTACCTCTAAAATTAAAATATATGATTTACTTTAAAAACATGTTTTTCATATATTAAACTGACAGATAAATTCAAATGTTGAATAATTTTAATTTAATTTATTTATTTTTTATAAGAAAAGCACGTAGCTTTCTTGTGAGCTCGGAAAATTGACTCGTCTGAATTTCAAATCTTTGAATTCTTTACTCAGTGAAAAATAATTAGGGGTGTATTCAGTTTGGTTCGGTTTTTTATTAAAAATTGAACCTAATCGAAATAAACGGGTTTTTAGAATTTAAACCGAAACCGAAATCGAATTGTTAAAAAACTGAATTATGTGAAATCAGTTTTTTTGGTTCTGTTCTTTTTTAACGGTTTGGTTTTTCGGTTCGGTTTATCATTTTTTCAATGAAAAATTCACTTTAAACTATAATTTTTTTTAAAAAAATTTCTATTCGGTTTAATATGGAACAAATGGGTTCCATATGAAAAACCCGAACCGAACCGAATCAATAGAATTGAGACTTTAAACCAACCCGAAAACCGAACCGTATAAGGTCAAACCGAACTGAACCGAATCATTTTACTCGATTCGTGTCGATTTTTCAATTTTCTCAATTTCGTTGCTCAGCCTAAAAATAATATTAGATTAATATAAAAACAGTTTCTATTTGCTAAAGGTAAATCTGCACATTAAATTCATTGGAAACCAATATTTAAATAATTGTTTTCTTATTTTTCAAAGGACCAATAGAAAGGAAAAACACTCTGACTATCTTCAATTTCATGGATGCTTCCCAAACCAAACCATCAGTCAAATAATCAAAGCGGCTTAATATTGAACATAGCCCGTGAATGATACATATTTTTCATTTTAGTACATAAATGATTATTTTCTTTTGATTTATCCAAAAAGTTAACGAAGAAAATGATAGTTTAAGTATAGAGATAGACCCCAAAAAAAAGAGGTATCAAAGTGGAATAAAAATATAATTCAAGAATTAAATAGAGTATTAAGCCTAATCGAAAACAATATACATTCAAGGTTTGATTTCTTAAATCATGCTATTTTTTCTATTTTAATACCTAAACATTTTTTATTTCACTTTGGTACATAAACTATTGTCTCAATCCAAGTTTTCCCACAATAAAACTACCAATAAGAACGTGACACATGCCATATTTTTTGTGGGGCATCGATTATTTTTGAATAAAAGAGGACGAAAATGATAATATAGATACTTAACAAGGGTCAAATTGTGAATAACCCAATTACTTAACAAAATAAAAGAAATAATCGAGTGCCCAATTAGGTAATAAAACTATTGGTACCTTTTATACTTCGCCTCTGCCTCCCCAACTTCCATGACTAAATTCACTTTGATTTCTATACACGGTTCAATTTTTCCTTCCGGTTTTCACCACTGGCAGTTCGTTTCCCCAACTGGGTTTTTCTTAATTTCCTTTTTCTTTTTCATTTTCTATCGTCCTGGTGTGATTCAGCAAGAATTCACGTTTCTTGCTTATGAAATTCCATGCAATGAAGTGTTTTCACTACTTCAAGGACAAGAGTCGGAGCAAGGGACGACAAAGATCAGCCCCCGAGTTGAAAGGACACTCCGGTGCTGATCCGATGATCACAAAATCCTCTTGCTCGGCAGCTTCTCCGCGCAGCTTACCGGAGTTGTACGAAGAGAGAGCTCATAATCTGAGGGTCTTTTCTTTCTCGGAGCTTAGACAAGCCACTCATGATTTCAATTCGTTGCTTAAGATCGGTGAAGGCGGGTTCGGGAGTGTTTATAAAGGCTCAATCAAGCCTGTTGGTGGAAAAGGTGAGCCTGCCGTGGTTGCTATTAAAAAGCTTAACGAGAATGGCTTGCAGGTAGTGATTTTCACTTTTCTTTTTTCCTTTCTCTGTTTGGAAGGCTAGAAAATATGATTTTAGTTTCCTCCTGTGTTTGCTTAACATGTCATGGCGTTTGTGTTCTTTAGAAATTTGGTCTATGATTCCAATGAATAACTTTGTCCCTCTAATTAGGTAAGAACCGAGGAGTAATGGGTGACACATTTAGAAGTTTTAAATTTTTATACAGTTTATGTATTTTTTTTTGTCGATGATTCGATTTCGTATATCTGAAATGTTTAATTTTGCACTCTCTACGTTTAAATCTCCATTTTTTATGTAGTTTTCTGGGGATTATTTGTTGCCAAAAAAAAACACTGATTGGAAATATGAGGTTCATGTTTATTTGTGAGAGTTGCAAAAGATTCAATCAGAGTGCTTGAGCGTTTATCATTAATCAGTTTAAATCTTACTTGGGAAGCCATTAAAGGGGTTGACTTTAATGTTACAACAAATTATTGAACTCTGATTCAACCACAATGATCATTTGATGCAATTTCCCAAGCTTCTGAGTTGTCAAGCATTTTGAACCCTCAAGGTCCAGTTTGGTTAAGAGGAAAAAAAAGGAAGAGAAAATTGCTTTCCTTCAGACTTTATTTGTGTTTTGTGTTTGATCATCAAGGACTAATTTACCTTCCTGGAACCATGAATCATAAAGCTTCCATTCAAATAAGATGGCTCAATTTCACGACTGTTGATATCTTTCTCTTTTACTTGCTCTTCCGTCTTTCGTAATTCCGACACCGATTTCGGTATGCAATGGATTGAAAATCCATTGATTGTTCTCGGAAATCGATTATGGCATGGGATGTCGAAAAGAGAAGAACAAAAAACAAATTGTTCATTCCAAGACTTCTTTATGTCACCCTTCTTATTTGTTACTTGAGAGAATCATTTGCTGTGACTGATGTTTCATGGTGCTGTTAATCCATATAGGGACATAAACAATGGGTGACGGAAGTTCAATTTCTCGGAATCGTCGAGCACCCGAATCTCGTCAAACTCATAGGATACTGTGCTGTCAATGGAGAAAGAGCGATTCAGCGTCTTCTGGTATACGAGTTCTTGCAAAACAAGAGCTTAGAAGATCATCTTTTCGGTCGGGCGTTCCCGCCTCTTTCTTGGGTAACAAGATTGCATATTATACTCGGAGCAGCCGAAGGATTATCTTATCTGCATGAGGGTTTAGAAGTTCAGGTTCCTATCTAAAACACTAACTATGCATTTCGTTTCCTTACATGTACTAAAACCGCAATGCTTGGAACATATATAAACCGTGCTCTTTGTTTTGCTGGTCACTGGTCTCTGATTGTTGTTCTCGATCTTTTGTTTCATGATGATGCTAGGTGATATATAGAGATTTCAAAGCCTCCAATGTGTTACTGGATGAGAAGTTTAATCCGAAGCTGTCGGATTTCGGGCTCGCGAGGGAGGGGCCAATGGCTGGAGACACGCATGTTTCGACAGCCGTTAGTATTAAATGTTCATTCCCTTTTGGGGCTATTCAGTAAGATGATGAATCCTGTTGCAGTACTGATGAAAGTAACAAGCTGTACTTGTTTCTATTTCTTGCCAGGCTGTAGGGACTTTTGGCTATGCTGCTCCTGATTACATCGAGACCGGACACCTTACGGATAAGAGCGATGTATGGAGCTTTGGCGTGGTACTGTACGAGATTCTTACGGGCAGGCGGTCGTTGGAACGAGGCCGTGCAAAACCAGAGCAGATACTGTTGGATTGGGTGAAGCTCTTCCCTGCAGATGGTAAGAAGTTCAAGTCAATAATGGATCCGCGACTCGAAAACCGGTTTTCGATCAGTGCCGCTAGAGACATTGCCAAGTTAGCAGACGATTGTTTATCAAAAAGCCCCAAGGGCAGGCCGAAGATGAGCCAGGTGGTGGAGAGATTGAAGCAGATAATCCGGGTTTCGAACGAAGCGACCAATGAGGAGATCGAGAGCCCTGAGGTATCTGATACTGAGTCGGAACATAATTCGTATCAATCGGGCGGTTCCGAATCATGGAAAAGGCGAATGGCGCACCTTGCGAAACTCGGTGAACATGGAGAAGCTGCAAGTAGAAGGAGATTGATGATGTTGCAGAAGGCCAAAGTGGCTTAACTTCCTCAGAAAATGATGGCAGACTAGTCTAATGTTAAATATATCTGTTAATCTATATGAAAAACAAATAAAAAGGGGATAGAATCAAAATTTATCACATCCGCCACATAGATGTAAGAAATATTGTATATAAACATTTATTGAGTTAATTGCACAAGAGGTCCCTAAACTATGACTTTTATTTTAAATTACTCTTTAAACTTTTAAATATTCTATCAACTTCCAAACTTTGACCCATTCTAAATTGATCCTTAAATTTTAATATATTTTATACCACTCCATAAACTATAAGCATCATTCTATTTTGATCAAATTATTAACGTGTCATTAATACTGTTGGTTTTCCAATGATCCTAGAAACTAAACTCGTGTTATTGTAAAAAAAAATTTGTTTTATAAGGTTTTGAAAATTCACTATTGAATTCTTAGTACCTTTAAAAACATATTAATTTTTTTAACCAGTAGAGTTAACAACACGTTAACAAAAAAAATTAAAATGAAATGATATCTATAGTTTGAAGGATGATATAAAGTGCTTTAAAGTTTAGGAACTAATTTAGAACGAGTTTTAAATTTTGATGATCAATTTAAAATAAAGACTATAGGTCAAGGACAGTCTGTGTAATTAACTTTATAAGTACGTGTGTGTTCTATTTTGAGAAAGTATAAACTCACCGTGAAAAGGTCCAATTTGAGTCGGCCCGGCTCTTTTTTTTTTTTAATGAAATCTATTCAACATCATTTTGGCCTTTCCCACTCCCCGAATATAAATACCGACTGCGAACAATAAAAAACCACCAAAAAATTATAAAAATTAATAATAATAAAAGACGCTAGGGATCTCGATCACCGATCTCGTTCTCTCCGGCGATACCTTTGTAATTGTTTCCGGTGAGATATTGAGTTCGGATCCCTTCTCGATACGATCCGTAGTGTCTGTTTAACCTAGATCCGAATCACCATGGCTCCAGTTTCAGCTCTGGCCAAATACAAGCTTGTTTTCTTGGGGGATCAGTCCGTCGGCAAGACCAGTATCATCACTCGCTTCATGTACGATAAATTCGATAACACTTACCAGGTATTTCTCTCAATTTTTACGATTCTCTTTGTGTTTCTTTGGGTTTTTATTCCGAGCTTTCTTATTAGTTTGGATCTGATCGTTCCTTTGATTTTTTTTGGTATTGATTAGGTTCATATTTCTTATAGTTTTGCTGAGTTTCTTTGTTCTTTTAGATTCTAAGGTTATCTGTTTCTCGAATTTGTTAACCAGGCTACCATTGGTATTGACTTTCTGTCAAAAACAATGTACCTCGAAGATCGGACAGTTCGATTGCAGCTCTGGTAAGACATCAATTTTATGCTAAATTTATCTACTGTATTATGGATTTTTATGGGTTTATATCTAAACTGTGCTTACTAGTTGCACACAATTTAGATTCTTCTCTTTCGGAGTATGTTTGCATTTCTCTCCAAACTCTTGTTCTATTTAATATATATGTGTTGGGGGGGGACGCTTTACCAGTGAATGCGTTTTGCTGTATTGCTGTATCATATTCAGCATGAAACTATATTGCTGTATTCCTGGATTTTTGTTTGTCTCGTGGTTGGTTGAGTGGAAAAGAGGAATGCGTACAGCGGAGACTGGAAAATTTTGAAAGAAAATAAATTGAGTATGCATGGTTAGAAGGAAATGTAAGAGGAAAAAAATAGCAAAGATAGTCGTTTTCCATACTAATGAATGAAAACAAATCATTTCCTTTCCTCTTTTTTCAACTCTAAGCAAATAACAGAAAAAAAATTCTTTCCCTTTTTTTCCTTGCCAAGCACACTAATGGCAATAACAATTATGTATATATATATATATATTATCTTTCTATACATCATCGCCTTCAATTTTTCGTATTGTATATTTTCTTTTCACCTTACCAAGCAAAGCCAAAGGGTGCATTCGTATTTAGATGCTGATTTTGCATTTTGGTTTAATTTATTAGTTGGAATGCTTGATTTTGATGTCATAATATGAAGTATTTAGTAACATTGTTACCAAGGATTGAATACAAGATAGGTTCTCTGAGCTGTGTGTTAAGATTGATATCTTTAATCTGTATCTACTTAAATCTTTATTACAGGGATACGGCAGGACAGGAAAGATTCAGGAGTCTTATTCCTAGTTACATTAGGGATTCCTCCGTGGCAGTCATTGTCTATGATGTTGCAAGTATGTTGTCATTTCACTTTGTTGTCCTGATTTGGATTCCAGTTGTTATGTTTATGTATGTGCCCATTTTGTGGGATACACTCTCACAGATTGATATTCATCTGCTCAATTAAGTGCTTGAAGTTGCTAACTTTAATTTTGATGTTGTAGGTAGGCAATCCTTCCAAAATACTTCAAAGTGGATTGAAGAGGTGAGGACTGAACGCGTTAGTGACGTTATAATTGTGCTTGTTGGGAACAAAACCGATCTTGTGGACAAAGGTAATATTAATTTGTTATTATGATTGTACTTTCTAGTGAAATTAAGTAGACATTAATTTTCATTACTTTAATTTATGCATAAATAATTTCCCCAGGTCCTGAATTTAACTGCCTGATTTGTGTTTGATCATTGTGCATTTTGTGGTTGTTTTGACAGGCAAGTCTCGGTTGAGGAAGCTGAAGCCAAGGCTCTTGAATTCAATGTTATGTTCATCGAAACTAGTGCCAAGGCTGGCTTCAATATCAAGGTAGACCATGTTTAACCTATCATATGATTATTCCTATAATTTGACTGCATTCTCGATGCAGATTGGAAATTATTGTGGTTAGGCTTAGGTCAATGTATTGTCATATGGCATTGGCTTCTTTTTCATTTTGCCATGATATTATGATTTGAGACCAATCTTCTATTCACTGAAAGTTTGCTTAGTCTTTTTTGTTTCTCACTTCTTTATCAACTCCACTATATTTAGTGGAAGCAACATTTGTTCTTCAATTGCATGACAATTATTGCAAGCATTGCTTAAGTTACTTGGACATGGGTGTGAAAGTTGGGCAATTTCCAAAGTTTGTCCGTATATTTGGAGGGCCATATCTCCATACCCGTTTCTTTGTATTGCTCGAACATGGCTGTCGGATGCGAGTACTTGAAGAAAAATAGAGTTAAAGCAATATAGTTGCTAGCAAGTCCTCTCACACTTCCTGTTCGATGACAGGCTCTATTTAGGAAGATTGCGGCTGCTTTACCTGGAATGGAAACACTTTCTTCAACAAAACAAGAAGACATGGTCGATGTCAATCTTAAGTCTTCAAACCCAAATTCATCCCAGTCGCAGCAACCGGCTGGAGGATGTGCCTGCTGATGATACATACGTACCATACACACAAAACACATGTCATTGATCCGAGGTATGTATGCTTTAGACATTTATTTCGTGCTTCCAAAAGTGTTCCTGTAAAAAAGGAAGGAAAAAAAATCTTCTCCCCTCCCTTTTTTGTAGCCATTGGGCATTTGGGTTTGATGGAATATTAATGAGAGGAGATTTTCAATTTTATCATGGTAGTTAGGGCTTGTCCAAACCTGTCCTATATGTGTACGGTTCTTGTTATCTCATTCAATTATGCTAACTTTGCTGCTACTCATATATCAAGTTTTGTAGGCTTTTGCTTGTTGGGTTGTTATTCGATCTGCTGTTGGTTATATATAGATACTTTGCATTATCTGAATATTATTTGCGAAAATTTTATTCAATACATGTTTAATAACTCGGCCTTGCTTTCGTTCTTTCACCTTCGGATCATCTTTCAAGCTTGACCAGCCAATACGTAGGCTCGCTTAATGCAGTCGAAAATGGGAACACAAACAATCATATACAGCGGTGAATCGAAGGTGTATTTGGGCGTGCGATTGTTAATTTTAATATAATTTTTTTAACTTCACTTTTCTAACATAAATTCGTGCTTCCGTTTTTACATGTGCAATAGAGTTCGATACTGTGAAAGATTTGGAGTTTGGTGATGTTAATAATAACGGTGTTGGTATTAACCCAATATCATGAAATCAATTAGCTGTGAAGCTTTCACTTTTGTCCCAAGAGGGTCATCCATGAATTGGTTAATTTATAATGTCAATTTTTTAATATTTTTATAATTCTATATTTTTTAAAGTTTTCAGGTGTTGGATAAAATTGAGAGATTTTATAAATACAAATAGTTAAATTCATTAATTTATTTAAAATATAATCAAATAAATAGAATATATAAATATTAATAACTATGTTAAATTTTACTTCAGTACTAAATCATCAAAGGTTTTATTTTATTGGCTTAAAGTATTCAAGATCGTTTTCTTAGCACAAACTCTAACGGTAATGGCTTGATATAGTTCAATTTCTGTTTGTAGGCCCTCAATTTAATATTCGAATTTCAAAAATTCTCAAAAAAATATATATATTGATTTCTCGTTTTAACAAGAATCAAGTTGTTGACGTAACATTTTTACGGATTAAAATATCAGTATCATATATAATAACTTGATTAGTTTTTAAAATGACACATTAATATCTGATATCAATTTTTTTAAAATTCAAATATAAAATTGTTCCAATAAAAACTTGAGTATTAAGTTAAAAAATTATTAAATTTAGGGATCAATTTGTAATATCAAGCCAAGTGTAAATATCATTTTCCATGTGCATGTCTTCATGAGTGTCAAAATTTTGGACACCTGTTGACGAGACCCTAGTCTTCTGTCTTGGATACCATCGGATTAATGTTGTCCTAGATCACTCAAATGTTTGAATTTCCTCATTTACTCCTGTATACAAGGCAGCAATTTACATCCACTCATGAAAATTTATCCCGAAACAAATCAAATATTCTTGATTTACGTATATTTTTACTTTTACAAAATATTTTAAAAAATCACGACGAGACGACATTGTCATTCAAATCAGAAAACCCTCGATAGTTAATTTCTAGTTAACTGTCTATTTAGATTTAAAATCACAGATAAAAAAGAACAAGCAACACAAATAGACAAACAAGATACGAATATACAATGTCCTCGAAATCTCGGCCAATAGCGCCGCCGCCATCAAACAGCACCGGGCAAAGACAATGCTTAAAATATGTAGCCAACAGTATGATGAGCGGATCGTGGAAGTTAGTAGC